GCTGATAAAATTTGCCGATTTATTTACATTATAGACATGAAATGATGGGAATAATTATTGTAGTTTACCTTCTTTAAATAGATAATGCAATCAAATTGACGCCGTGCAGTTAGCTTTGTGCACGTTATTTAGCAAAAAATTGCTTCAGCTCTTTCCTATCTAACGTAATAAAGCTAATGCAATCAAACAGACGCTCCATCGTCGGTCCATTCTGATTAGCCGAAGGAGACTTGACCTTATTGATATTGATTACTCAAGTCGATTGTTAAAGGCGATGGGCAAGTAATTTTTGACGCATTTACCCGAATTGAAACACGATCCTATCCAAGTACATAGCAAACGTAATTAAAAACCAGAGCAAACAGATGAACGCGAATAAACAAGACGCGCACACCAAAGTGGAGTTCAATCAACCAGGCGAAGTTTGTCGATCGTTAAATTTGGTGGCTCTGAAAAGAGCCGTTTTTCTTGTTATATGCTAGAAATTAAGCACGTTCGCCTCTGATTCTGCGGGCGAGCTGGATGTCCTTGGGCATGATGGTGACGCGTTTGGCGTGAATGGCGCAGAGGTTGGTGTCTTCGAAGAGGCCGACCAGGTAAGCTTCGCTTGCTTCCTGCAGAGCCATGACTGCCGAGCTCTGGAAGCGAAGGTCGGTCTTGAAATCCTGAGCTATCTCACGAACGAGTCTTTGAAAGGGCAGTTTTCTGATGAGCAGCTCGGTGCTTTTCTGGTAGCGCCTGATTTCTCTGAGAGCCACTGTACCAGGCCTGTAACGATGAGGTTTTTTGACACCTCCGGTAGCCGGAGCGCTTTTTCTGGCAGCCTTCGTGGCCAGCTGCTTGCGAGGTGCCTTGCCACCGGTTGACTTGCGAGCCGTCTGCTTGGTTCTTGCCATACTGTCTGCAACTTGTTTGAACGTAAAAGCAACGAGTGGGAACTGATAATCTAGTTAGAATACTGCAAGCACACAGTAGGCAACATTTTATATAGACACGAGGTGAGCCGACCTAATAGAAAGCGCTTCGGTCACGTGGTTTTAGTCCAATCGTGTAAACGTGCTGCAAACAATGCTAACGTGATATTGTGAGTTTCTAAACTATTTTAATTAATTTGCAATTACTGGAAATTTTTAACGTCATTACATTTCTCTAATTTAGCACCTTGATTAGCTGTTTTTATAATTAAACTTTTGGATGGTAATTAATTATCAATTTCCAAATTAAATGTTGCTTTACGAATAATTTAACCTACATACATCCCTGACAAAAGTGAAATCGTGCTAATCGTGTAATAAACCGTATGTATGAAATTACATATTTTACAAATTTATTCAATTAAAGGTCAGACGTTCAGGTTTTGCGTAAACGACGGGAACGAAAAATACAACGGAGTAAAAACAATCAATTAGCTGTATTTATAATTAAACATGTGGATGGTATTTATCAATTTACAAATGAAATAGCTTAGGCAGAAATGGTGCTACAGATCTCTTTAATCTACATACTTTCCTGGCAAAAATGTAACTTTTCATAATCAGTTTCTCATGCTAACCGTACGTATGAAATTACATATTTTACAAATTTATTCAGTTATGGTTCCCATTTCTGAGTAAACGACCGGAACGTAAAAAATACAACAAAGTAATAATAAAAAAACAAGACAGCTTTGAAGAAAGAGAGGCTCGATATCATC